TTCGTCATCTTTTTTATCCCCTGTACTCTACTCCCAACGTTATTCGTTAATAAATTCATTCTATATACACACAAGGCAGTGGATAGAAAAGGATTCAATAGAGACTAAGAAGAATTAACCTCTATTAGCACTTGTGAAGAGTTGAAGTCAAAACAGTTTTAAGAAAAATACCTGCTACCGTCGATTTGCTCGCTGTTCCATTTGTTATTGTATTGTGGCATATAGCTTGTTGCATTTGATCTGATGTTATTTCCGCCATGGATAAATTTACATTAATGAACTGTGCACCTCGTAAATCTGAATCACCAAAGTCTGTACCTTGCAGTTCCGTGCCGTTAAAACTAGCACAGATGAGAGAAGAACCTTTAAATTTAGCGCCATTTAACCTTGAACCATCAAATGATGCACCGTTAAGGTTGACAAAATTGAATGACGCATTTACCATTGAAACTTGATCAAATTGAACACATTTCATATTCAATTTATTCAAACTGCCAGTTTGACTTGTTAGTTGAACATTGTCTAAATCCAGTTCATTCAATCGAATAATATCTACCAATTGTTTAACTTCACAGCCTGTTGTGCACTGTTCTCTCCCAATCAATCCTTTCTCTTTGAGAAATTGTAATGCATGTGCTTTCCGACCAGCATCCCATTGACGATATGCAACTCTGTAGGACCGGTTTGATTATTGCATAAATTGTAAACGACACAGACCGAAATAAAGCGTATATTCGATTGATCTACATTCTTCCTCTAAGCTGAATCTAGCAAACATAGGGATCTACTATTCCTTACATCATAATCGATCAACTTTATAACGTGCATTAGCAAATGCCCATGGTTTAGATGTTTCATTTAATTCATCATCTCTATGTAATGTATAAATATTATCAATAAAATCATTATAGATTTGTCGTTGTTGCAATTCAGTTGCTTGTTTCAAATCAAACTGACGTCGTTCTTTAGCTGCTTTTGTTTGTCGATCAGTCGTTATTGTTGTGTAAATGCCGATAGCTATGGGAACAGCAGCTGCACACAAAATGGTTAATAACTCATGAAATGTTAATTTAAAATATTTTTGTTTTTTTGTTGCTGGTTTTGTCGCAACTTGTTTAACTTGTTCAAGTCGATAATTTGATTCCGTGTTCATTTATGCTTGATAAAATCGATCGGACACACTCAAAGCTTCGAAATAATCAGTAATCTACCGAACTATTCTTTTATCTCTTTGTGTCACAATTTACTTTGGGAAATAAAAATAACTTCTTTGACGCCAGTAAAATCAAGACCTTTTTCTCTGTTGGAAAAAATTCATGATTCTAGTTTTAAACACGTTTTATCAATAAAATCGTTAAATCATGTCTTTCTACATGTTTATTTCAATGTTATGACACAATGAAATTCGATAGTGTTTTCATTCTCAATCTTTTTCAAAATTAAACGGGAAAATTTTGGTGATAATGATTGAGTTTTTGAGTATTTTGAATATCAAATATTGACATTCGAATTCGAAGACAGGCAATAATGTTGAAAAAGTAGACCTAGACTAAGAACTCGAATAATATTAGTCCGACATTTTCCATATTGGTTGCTATTGGCACATGCAACAAAAACAACTTTCTTTCACGTTGGTTTAAACCTTTTCTTATTAGTAGGCGTACAACATTTAGCTTCAGTCTTTATAAAAAGAGCTTCAAGGGTACCCCCTCCCTCTTTTTGATCCTCTTGGAAACCGGGGAAGCCGATGCTGGATCGGGTCAAAATTTATACCAGAGATAGAACATTGAAAAGAAAATCGATGTATTTTTGCCCAGAATTTTCTGACGTGTTCTGTTATGGATTTTCTAGAAAACTCCGGTTTTCATCAGGCCACATTAGAGCCCTCGAAAAAATGGTCCGATCGTGCTTAAAATTTTACCACAGATACTTCAGACCCTATCTCAGGTTCACTTTTTTCCTTTTCGAAAAATATTCTTTCCTTCTCGAGATATCCGAAAAATACTAAAACTCCCTATAAAAGATCGGTTTTTCATTTTAAAAACCTTTTCACGCCGAAAGTTGAAATCCAAAACGCTTTAAAAGAAAACGAATCTGAGATAGGGCCTGAAGTATCTGTAGTAAAATTTTGAGCTTGATCGGATCATTTATTCGAGGGGTCGTAATGTGCCCTGATTGAACAGACGTGCGCGTTTACAATTACAAAATGTAAAGTTCAAACATTGCTATTACCTGTAGAATTAAGAATTCTAGAATTATGAACTTTACATGTATGTAAAGTTGAACTTTACTTGTTCAGAATTTTCTAAAATTCTGAAATCTAGAGGTGAATGTGGGGGTGAGGGTGAGGATGAGTGTGAATAAGCGACTTTACATGTATGTAAAGTTCAGAATTCTAGAATTCTTAATTCTACAGATAATGGCAATGTATGAACTTTACATTTTGTAATTGTAATCGCGCAGCCCTCTGATTGAAGGGACTATGGCCAAAACACATGTTGTACACAGGGCTCGGTTTTACAGGGCATTTGCAGTGATGCTTTTATCTCTACAAAAACTCATTGGAAAATTCTGCGAGGCGTCTTTTGTTGAAGAGTACACTTTCTTCTATCATGCTATTTATAAGAAAAAGTTTTAAATGTATAGACAAGGAGAGGAAAATTTACGAAACTGAAAAACTGAGATTTTCAGGCTTCGACGGAAATACTTAAAAACTCCATAAAGGATCATGGAGAGCTGAGAGTGGTCTCATTTTAGAGCCCGGACTTCCTTCTACATTAGACTGTGTTCAGCTCAAAATGAAACGTTTTCTACAAAAAAGAGAGGAGGTGGTGTACCCTTAACACTTACTAATTGTAACTTAATTGCTTACACTTAACTCGAATAATATTAGTCCGACATTTTCCATATTGGTTGCTATTGACACAAGCAACAAAAACAACTTTCTTTCACGGTGGTTTAAACCTTTTCTTATTAGTAGGCGTAAGGCGCCGCTAATTCAAAGGAGGAGCAACATCTTATTTCCGCTTTTAATACACATATTCGGATAGAGAATTTCACGCTGAGTTCGAATATGACCTTTTTACTTTGATTTTATTGAGTTTTGGGGCCAAAAAGTTTAAGATACTGAAAAAGACCAGAAAATGCGAAAAACCTCAAATTTTCGAAAATTTTACTCTAACTTTTCCCCTTCGC